AGCTCACAAAAAGCCGGCAGTCTTTACAACAGAGCTATTTTCAAAAGCTCCTGTAGGGGGTGCAATACTTAAAAAATTACTCAGTGCTACTTTAACAGCCGTGTAATTCTACTGGATTATTTTGTAAAAAGAAGAAGGCTCATTGCAATAACTTGATGCAAGTTTTAGCTGTAAAACATGGAACAAATTGCTAGAAACTGGTGATTAAAATTTGTGGATGATTATTTCCCAAATAAGGCTAAGGTAGTTTGGATGTTATCTAACATATTGGTACGATAAGAAAGCAAAAGCAGCAGGAATCTATAAGGGAACAATACTTTTTCACAGCACTGAGTACACAGAGGATTTTGTCAGCAGGACATTCAGTGCACCAGCTGTGTTTGTTTGGATATTTGAACACTATAAAACACAATAACATTGTGTTCAGGAAACTGGGGTTTACATGAAAGTCAGAAGGTTATATAGGGAGATGTTTTTTGGTCTTCATCCTAAACGAGGATATGCACCAGAGTTTCTCCTCCTCCTCCCTGTTGAGAAACAGGCTAATGAGGCCCGGCGTTCACCTCCTGCTGTCCACCCTCCCTTGCATCCAACCTTCCTCCACCTGTGCACAGATTTCAGCTGAGCTATGCAGGATAGTCCCCCGGCACTGGTTTCAGCTCAGCATGATGTATGTATCACATACTTGTAATACACAAAGCAATAGTGTTTAGTGTTATACAAGTCGATCTTTGTCTGCTACACTCTTTACCATCTTTTCCAATAGGCTCAGTGTAAACTTCACATAATGAAAAGATTTGATCACATACAGTATCCGCCTTTATTGCAAGCGAATCAATCCTCAAGAATGTTAGTTCCTTGTATAAGCGAACTACCAGCAAATCCAATAAACTAGCTCAATATACTGAAATAATAACTGCTAAACGCTCTTTTCCCTATTTTGTTGGTTTGACTTGATTGCCACGATTGGCATTTCCCCGCACCATGCACTAAATTTAGTTTGTACAAAACACCATTGGTTTGTCTCCTGTCTATGTTGTCACTTCTTGGGAGATATTGAAAGGGACAGAATGGATTTCCTCCTAAAGGATCTCTTCTCTGGGCCCTGCCAGTTGCATTTGGTGTGCAATCAAACCAATCACAGCAGCTGATGGTCAGTGATTGCTTTCAGATTGGCCTGCCTACACATGACTCTTTTTTTCTCTTCCCCCTCCTCGTTTTATAGACACCTGCTGTGAATGTGAGGCTGTGAAGCTATGAAGAGGTAGGAGAGACAGAGGGTAGAGATGCACCTGCTATCTCTGTGAAATCACAGCTCTACAGTCTTGGTTCAGCTCTAGTGATTGGGCTCTAATCAAATGGTTAATTCATGCACAGATAAGCGGACACATTTATTCTGCATCACAAAAGAAACACTTTCATGCAGACGGTTTTGAATTCCTTTATCCTTTTTTTTCTTACTTTTTATAATTTGTAAGTAAAGAATAGGGGTGTAAGAGTCAAATCCATTAGTGCAAATTCTTCTACAATTTCTCATTCTTTTTTAAAAAAAAAGGAGGGAAACTATGTCATGTACCACTAATTTAGTGAAATCTGAAAGGAAATATTTGTACTGGATTTTTTTTTTATTATTTTTGAGGTTACAAAACAAAATGGTTAAGGTAACTGTTTTAGAATTTCTTTGTAAACCATTTCTTAAATAATTTCCTTTTTTTCTTTAATTACCAGTATGCAGCTCTCTATATAAATGCTCTAGCCTCCCAGGTCCCATAAAGAAGACCATCCACACAGCAGGGTACTGCTACTCCTAAATTTCACTGTAAGGACTTTGAGTTTGCTGTGATGTGTACATAGACAAAAATGAAATTACAAAATATTCTATTTTTACAAATCTGGTGTCTTCTGTAAACAGTTGATTACATTGGTGTCTTGTGTAAGTAAAGGAGCTAAGCGCACATTACTGTCAACGAAGTTCTTTAATAAAAAACAAGAGGAATTCAGAGATGGTGAAGAGGAATGCAGCACCTGGTATGGAGAAGAAAGCAATAAACCATGGAGTATGTATAAATGCAATCAGAGAATTTACATGTATGCAAAGGAAGAAAAAAGACAAGGGAAAACAGATTAGAACAGGGAGGAACAGCTGAGGCTAATGAAGGCAGAGAGAGCTGAGGGGGAGAAAATGAACAGAGGAACTAAGCAGAGACAAACAGAAACAGTAAAAAAGGCATTTAGCTGAGATAACTCAAAATAAAAACGTAACATAATGTCAAACAAACTCCCAAATTAACAGTAGCAAAATAAAAGAAAATAAACCATATAAAAAAAAAATATATACAGTATAGATTTTAACAATTGGATCTTCGAGGGGTTCAGGCTTAAGGGGTGATTACAAACTGAGGAAAGATGTTTCAAATATTTCAACATAATAATATTCACAATTATCTTACTCATAAATGTGTTAGCCAGAAAAAAAAAAATCACTATAAAAAGTGATAATTAGCAGTTGTAACATTTTAAAATGTACAAAACACATTTAAAATCAAGGAGCATAAGGACTTCAGGAAAGTGCTGCAACTTCTTCTCCATCTCCACCTCCAGTTTCTGTATCTTTTCAAACTTACATTTCGCAACCCCATTACCTGCTGTTTTCACTTGCTTTGTTCCGAAACAAGAGAAACCCGAGTCCTGGGGCAGGGAGATAGCATTGCTGCCATAGTGGTTACATGTTAGTCAATTTGAAGTACACCAAAAGGGAATGTCTCTCATGTGACTCCAGGCAAGCAGAGCGTGACCAGCTGTGAGCTCGACCAAGTATGGTCGGTCACACATGACGGGGCAGGAGACAAGCAGAAGCATGAATGCCGGTTTCATTGCTGTCAGAAGTGAACACCTCAGCTGCAGACATATATAGAGGAGGCAGATTCCTTCCCCCAGCTTCTGACTAATTGACCCTGAGCTGACGTGTCAGAAGCTTGAGGTGAAGCAAGATATGAACTTTGTGTTGTTTAGCAGCTTCTAGATGTAAGGTGAACTGTTGCTGAACCAAGTAACAGCAGCTTGACTTTTATCACTCACCTAACCTTACTTTTTGCTTTTTATTTTAAACATAAAAAAGATGTTTTCTATATTATTTAAGTATAAAAACCCGTATTAAGCACCGCTGAACCTTATTCTGTCCGACCACATTTCCCTGCACTTTTTATTGAAAGTTTTTATTATATATCATGTGCATCTACAAAATTCTTTGTAAATTCACTTTGAATATTTATAATATAATTTTTCAAGTCTCGTAATCTCAATTAGATTTAGGGCTTTACTCTGACATAGAGAAATACTTTAACCTTAACCACTCCATCAGAAATCTGGCGACATATTTCAGGTTGTTCTCCTGCTGGAGGGAGGACCTGAATCTGTTGTTTGTAGCTTCTTACAGGTTTCCATCCATTTTTCATGTATTTTGCACCATCCATGTTTCCATCAATTCTAACCAGCTTGCCTTCCCTGTTCCGGAAAAAAACAACAACAACAAAAAAAAAAACATAAAACAGCCAGAAACAATATTGTTGCTTCCACCATAATTCACAGGAGGGATGGTTTGCTTTAGGTGATACACTATGAGTTTTTTTATGAATAATATTTTGCATAAAAGCCAAAAAGTTCAAATCTGGTCTCATCCAACCAGAGTGTCTACTTCTACGTCTTTGGTCTGTTTGATCCATTATTTGTGGACATCATCAAACAAGAAAAACAAATAAAAAAAAAATAGAGAAGATTTATAGAAAATAGTTAACAGCTCAGTTTAGAGTTCTGCAGCTCCTCCATATGCAGAGTGAGCAACATGGCAGCTTTTCTAGTTAGTACTCTCTTTACCTGGCCTGTCAGTATCTGCATTTACATTACAAACATGTGCAGAACTATGTTAATATTCTGCTAGTTTTATTTCCACACTTCTCTTGAATACATTTGTTTATATACTAACACTCCAAAACAACATGGCAGCGGTGGTTGTAAACGCATGAGTGGTATCCATTTTTCAGCCACAGCTTGATTGCACATCATACTCATCGTCGGAAATTCAATGTAAATAAAATACACCTACACACCATTATCCTCCATCTACTTTAGCTCTGTTTCTTCCTCTATTTTAGAAGGCAGCAAGGTTCAGTTGCAGATAACAGCACTTGTGTATTGTAAAAAAAAAAAAAAAAGTCTTTCTAATGCAATTTTCTGACAAAAAAGAATTTCGATATGACTGAAAAAAAAACACCTCAAAGTGTAAAAAACTTAATTGAAGTGCTTCCTTTTAGAAAATGTATTTGCGGATTTACAACTGGCTTAATTAGATGGTTAGTGGAAACACATCTACTGGCGTATTCTACCCTTTACCTCATGAGCTACTTAGAAGAGCTCTGCTAAAATCACAAGGTTGTGATATTGTTTTATAACCTAGCTCTTTTTCAAGCTTCTGTAAACCATTTTCCCCAACTCTTTGTTTCCCTGGCTCCATGAGACTGTTTGCTTACTAAAGATCAGGTATCTAGACATTACATAACATTATTTCTTTTTATAATGTGAGCAGAATGCAGAAAAATGTGTGTTTTGTATTATAAATATATATTAATATTGAAAATAATCAACCGTCTTTCAGTTCTTTTCCCTTGTCACAGTGATGCACATTTCAGTGTTTCATAAAACCCTAATATAAGACATCAAAGTTTGTAGTTTTATTGATATATAGATAGGGATATTGATATGCTTGCAAAGCATTTTACTCTTGAATGAAAATAGCAGTTAAATTAACCAGTGCAAACGGTGTTCAGCTCTAAGGCTCAGAAGGACTTCCAGCACTACTTCAGGAGCTCTTAACTCTCGATGAATAAACTCCTCATGGAGTGGAAATTAGAAAAGAAGTGCTTACACACTTCACATGAATCAAAAGTAAGCTTTTAAATGATCTCCGCTGTTCTCTTTTCTGTCTTCTTTGGGTTTTTTTTTAGCCGTTGGACTATGAGACCAAGAAGGCGTACACCTTCAAGGTGGAAGCATCCAACGCTCATTTGGATCCCCGGTTTCTGAGCTTTGGGGCTTTCAAAGACACGGCAACAGTGAAGATTAACGTCTTGGATGTGGATGAGCCCCCGGTGTTCAATAAGCCCTCCTATGTGATGGATGTGTATGAAGACACGCCCGCTGGCACCATCATTGGGGCGGTGACGGCACAGGATTTAGATGCCAGCAGCAGCCCAGTCAGGTAAAGTTAAAGTGTTCACAGTAAACTGTGTTTTAAGACAAGTTTATATCATCAATCATCTTCTTTATATCAATGTCCTTAAGAAAAGCTTTCAACTTTTTGCCCAAAGAAAAACTTATTGTTTAATAATGGCTAGAAGACAAAATAAAAGACATCAGAAACTGAATACATTAAATTAAAAAAATGAATCAGTTGATTCATTATTTGGTGCATATAAAGTCATATTAAATATCTTTCAGCAGATTTATTTGAAGATTTTTTTCAGCACATTTTTCAAACCTGTCTCTAATAGGCTTATATTAATTCAGATAAAGACGTACAGACCAAGCTCAAGGATGTATTGCTCCTCTTACCAATAATTTAGATTTTTCTTTTTTTGTTTTTAAGAGAGCACTGCCATTTTTTTATAACATACTTGGAGTAAGGGACATATTAGGGTGGAATTAAGTAACTTGATTTCTGTTAGTACCTATTTTACAGTACAATGAAATCTGTTTAATTGATCTTGTTGTTAAGGCATTTTATTTCTGCCTTTCTCCAGGGTATTTTTTTGTGATTTTTGTTCAGTTATGGCACCTCATAAGGTTCATAAGAAAAATATTACATTTTAATGTGAAACTAAAACAGTCATTATTTTTATTAAAATAATATTGTTTTTGCCAAGATAATCAGCAAAATGGGGTATTTTAAAAACGCTCTACAGGAAAGCATCAACTTTGGCCCTCATCATGATCTTTTAATGTCATTAACCAACTAGTGTATATCTCTGAATAAAAACAAGCAAATGACAAATTTCAATAATTTCATAATGAAGAATACTTTAACACTAAATAAATAATAAAAAAATGTAGAAACAAGCTTAGCCTTCTGTTCAGTTTATTGATAAAAATTAAATTGAAAGAAAATTTATATGGATATAGTATATATTAAAAAAAAACTGTATATTAATTTACCTGAACTTTACACTTCCCTAATTAAAATCTACTATGCAATTGGATGTTTGCAATTTAATATTGAAGGATATATTTTGTAATTCAGAGGAAAAACCTACATTTTGAATAGCAAGTTTGGCTTAATTTTTATCAGTAGTATTTTAACACATATTCAGCAAGTATTCCCACTTCTCCAGTGACCACTACACTACAGGTGTAGTGTGACAACAGGTACCTGTTGGAAAAAAAAAAAAAAAAAAGGAAATTTCTACGTCATAAAAACAGGGAAATCAAAGCTTAGAAGCCTTGGGCTGTGATTGGACATCATACTGTACAGATTATTTCTTATAAGTCATTCAGATAATATTAAAATAATGTTAAAATAATAAATAATATTTTATATGTAGACATGATGTAAACACACACTCAATTCAAAAATATAGCTGTGATATAGTTGTGAAAATACAGGTAAAATATCATCCTTATTATAATCCTTATTATCCTTAAACCATCTTTATAATTGTTTTCATATTTAATCACCTTTTGGCATTCCTTCCACACAGATAGGTGAAATATTCCCTTTTATTTACAGCATATTTAATCTTTACTAGCTTAACTGAAGAGGAAAACCTCCTATTATATTCTTTAAAGATTTAAAACCAAAAGAGAGAGAGACTGTTCCACCGCTGCCAGTGATTGAAGGTTTTAGATCTCTAATTCATTCATCAACATCCACAGTCTTCATTCATCAATGTCATCACAGCTTTAATCGTGAAACTTTTGTCAGCTTTACTCATCAGTTTGAGAATTAATCAATCTATGTAGAACATTAGACTCTGTCTTGTAAAATCCTGCTAGCGTCATCTTCTGGCCAGTCAGCGATTGCCGGTGACACTGTGTGACATGGAATGAATATCTAAGCTTATGTGTAGTCTTATTATAAATGGCTGCACCTGCACAAGCAAATACTGGTTTTAGCAAATTAGAGAGTGGATTACTGTGTTTGATCATGAGTTGAGGAAGTTGCCTTTTACATGCAGATGAGTTTTTTTTTTCTGAATTATTCTATGGACTCCTCAGATAGCATTTCGTCAGATATTTTCTATTAAGGCCATTGGTCTTTTTTGTATTTTTTCTTTTCATGTAAGTTTTTGAAGGATTGTTATGAAATTCTATGGAAGTCTTTTTAATCTTAATTACTTCATCAAATAGAATAATTTGTATAATTTCAATGCGGAGATGACGAAAAAAATAGATTAAACTACTTCTACTACTACTACTACCTTCACATGATTTAATAGGTTAGGTGCGACTAATGACTTAATAAGATGACTGGATTATAAATGTAATTTAATAAATGCAGAAGTTCTTGTTTTAGATTATACTACCATTTTTTGTTAGTTTTTTTCTTTTTTGACTTTTGTTTTACCACAGAGTAAAAAAGGATGGATATCATCAATGTCCGTAGAGAAACAGCAGGTGTTATTATATTTCTACAGCTATGAGTAGAAATGGTGCTGTATACAATTGATTGTGCGGCACTTATGGATCATTCTGATTTATCCTTGGCAAAAGAGAAACAGAAAATAGATAGAAGAGAGGATTCAATGTTATTTTACTGGATCCTCTAGTGAGTGATTTTTAGTTTTTATGTTGTACACTGGTTGCAAGAGAGGAATTGCTATAAAAAAGGTTTTATGACGTTGTAAAAAAGTATGAAAAAATGTCACCCTTCTTAGACAATGTCTCATTCTCTATCATTGAAACTGTTAAAGAACTTTAGAGTTTCTATGGAGAAAAAACTGCATCCTTGATGCACAAATGAGCGCCACCACAGACTCTTTAGGTCACACACATATATATATATATATATATATATATATATATATATATATACACATACATACACATTACTCCATGCCAATTCTATTGTATTGTACTATTTTATTGTTTAAATTATGTAGCATTAAAAAATAGCATGGTTTAAGGGAGACAAATATAAAAAGGTAAGGTTTTAGCCTTTAGGTTATCTGCTGAAATTTTTACTCATTTTCAGAGCCTAGAAATGTCTTTATGTTTCATAGTGATAACTATTAGCAAATAATATTTGAGATGATACTCATTATATTTAACCTTGTGTAATCTTTGTTATCTTTGTAAAAAACAGTGTATTCAAGGCCAGAATCAAGCACAGCAACGTAAGGACAAACTGCTAAACAATCCATTTAAACACCTAAGATCTCTCTTTGGATGATAAAAGGTTAAAGTTGAAAACAGGATAGGGGAGTGGTGGCCTATTGGTTAGGGCATTGCGCTTGGAATGCAGAGGTTCCGAGTTAGAGCTTCACTCCCACAGACTGCCACTCTGGGTCCCTGGGCAGAGATCCTTAACCTAGGGTGACCAGATATCCTCTTTTTCCCAGACATGTTCTAGTTTTCATACCAAAAAAGATGTCCGGGGGGAATTTCAAAATCGCCCGGGATTTGGGCCCCGGAGCTGATGGCTCAGTTCGAATGCCTGGTCCGGTCAACCCCCCCTTTTTTTGTAATGACAAAAAAAGCTGAAAAAAAAACATATTTGGAAAAAATTGTTAACAAAGTGCCCTTATTTAAAATACTTAAAGGGGAAAGCCTCCTTTCTTAAAATCTAATACATTTTAATGTCTTAAGGCTGTAAAGTTCAGTCTGAATAAACTTGGGGCCTTCTTGGAAAATATTATTTGCCTACATAAGACAGAAGCAGAGTTGTTTGTCTAGTGTTGTGTTTAACAAAGACATAAATATACAGAACATAACTAAAACACCCGATAGTCCCTGGCAAGCATGATTTGGTAAAATATTTAAGAGTGGTACCTTTTTTGTAGCAGCCAACGTAAGAGAGGCAAAAAATGCAATCTAAGAATAATTACTAAGAAAAAGATTTTATGAGACTGATGAAATCTTGCAAGTTAGTGATGCTAAAGTTGTGTCTATAAGAAAATAAATTAAGGGATTAACCTCTTTCCTCTAAATTATAATTTACCCCTGTGATTTTATATTACAATACTTACGAATGTTGAACATTAATACGTTTTGTAGAACCAACATGCTTCAGTGAATTCAGTTCATACCGCATCCACGTCATTCTGTCGCTAAAAGTCTTACCACCCTCAGAAGCACTTATAGGACATCACTACCTCTGTTTTTATCCTAAAACCTTCATCTGTTGTAGATAACAATAGCCTGTCCATTGCATAGACAAAAGAAAGGGTGCTTTGAAAAATGCATAACGAACCTGCCTAGTTTTTTATAAATCTGCTCTCCACTTTTATCCTGTCAGATTGCTTCAAAGTGATGGGTACTCTGTCTTAAATGGGAAAAAAAGAGAAATATCTGTTGCACAATGTGCAGTTGTTTTGCTATGAATATTTTATCATGTACAAAACAAAAGAATAGCGGAAGCTGAGATTTGTTCAACAAGAAAAAGCTAATGCCCTCCGCTCTCTGGATCTCCACTTTGTCTCTGGTCTTTAAATATTCATCAGTAGCACGGATGACATTGTTATTTGTGCACACTTTGGAGAGCAGCCTTGCATTGTGCATTTTGAAACAATAGGACTCCATATGCCCCATCATGCATAGGGAATCATGCTTTTAGACTTTTAGACTTAAACCAAACCTATTCAGCTATTTAGGTCTACAAAATTATCTATCTAGAATACGGAGAGAGCAACATGATTCTGCATTGTTGATTTATTCTTTGAAAATTTTAGGTTTTTAACACTTAAAGTTGTGTTTGATTTTCAATTAACATTGTAATTACACGACACTCAAGAGGTCCAGTTTTCATAGACTCTAAAACATCACCTTAACATAGTTGAATGAATGAATGAATGAATGAATGAATGAATGAATGAATGAATGAATGAATGAATGAATGAATAAATTAATTAATTAAATTCATTTCAGACGATTAAATTATAAAACTAATATTAGATAAATCAATTTGAGATGATATTTGAAACCAACAACCTCGTGCCTCAGAAAAAAATAATTTGGTTACAGGTTGAACATTCAAATAGATATAATTTTTAGTACCAAATAAATATAATTCATTGGAACATAGATATAAGCTAGTAAAATAAAGAACATTTCCCAATTACTAAACCTGCCAGTATATGTAGGCTGAGATCTGACATTGATTATTGATTTATGATTATTAATTAAAATCATAATTGAATCATTAATGGTTGGGAATTCTAGAAATGAATAAGAGTTGAAAAATATACAAAAGAACTCACCCTTCCCTTTCCTGACATTACCTCCTGCATTGGGCTTGGTTCTAACATAGAGGGAAGGAACGTTACTGCTCTTCAAGGCAGGAGATAAGGGTAATTAGTTTTCATATCTATGACTGTCATGGCCATAGACTCTTCAGATCTGTGATTTCTTTCATAGATCTTTTGATCAGGTAGGTTGAATTAGCTGGTATCAGTGACAATGAAAATATCTTTCCCCATGAAAGAAAGAAAAACATGAATACATTATTTTCTTCCCCAAGTCTGTCTTTCTTTTTTAAGAGATATTGAGCATACAGTATAATCTTAAACCTGTAATACGCTTTGTCATAACATGGTGAAAACCAAGTAAAACATATGTATCATCCAGTAATACCCTGTGAAACGAAAAGAAAAAAAAAGAACCTCTTTGCCTTGGGGAAAAATTACAAACCATTGATCTTTTGAACTCTTGATGGGAGTTTGGCTTCAGTATTCATCAAAGAGACTCACACTAAACTGGTATGACACATTCATGTTCACCGCAAGGCTGCACACAACGCAGAGTTTGAGACAAGACATGGACAAATCAAATGTGAAGCCCTCGTAGAGTGGTCTAGTTATGTTTCTCATTACTAAAAGGGAGCTATTAGATTCCTCCGCTAATGATACAAGTCCAATCTACTTTCAGATTCTGAAGTTCTAAAAGACAACCTTTATAAAATGCATGTACTTTTGTGTTTTAGAATGAAAAAGTTCAACTGAAAATAAAACAAATTATAGTATCATACCAAAGAGAGGATATCCTTTGTAAGGAAAGTCCAGGCTTTGCCTCATGAGAAATTACAGACCTGCTTTGTGGAAGTGCCCATGGGCAAGGCTTCAAATTCCCACCCTGTGAACTCTTTGTAAAGGGGAATAAAATATGACTTTCCTCTAATGATATTCCACTGAGGGTTGTATAATTATTAATGGAAAAAATTTGTTTTTAACATCAAATAGCATGGAATGATGAATGAGCCTGTCACTGGCATGTGCTTCACTTTCTGATCTCTTTCTTTTTTCAATTTTCTTTCCTTGAATTCCATAGTTTGCATTCAGAAAACCTAACTAACACACTCCTTAAAGAGAAGTTTTCGGGCTGATTTGGACACCGATCTCAGACTTTTCTATGCTTTTGTTGTTCAATGGCTGAGAGAAAGATTGATACTCTTCCAACAGTCCCTAAAATAAATTTATGTTCCCAAGAAAAACATTAGCTCAGCATGGCCAAATGGTGCTCCATTACTCGATACATATGCAGTCCTTCAGCACATTTTCTGGAAATGACCATTCAGAATGAGTGATGAAGACAAGTCCAACATCTCATTACACCTAACACGTATAAGTACAGCGGGGAAAATAAGTATTGAACATGTCAATCTATTTTTTTTTTGTAAATATAATATCTAATGGAGGGATTGACATGAAATTCACAGCAGGTGCTAATAACGGTTCGTATTATACATTCTGTGGATACAGAAACATAATAAACAAGTCCAAAAATTAAGTTACATTAATGAAAAAGGGAACAAGACAAGGAATTATAAACACTTCTATTACAACTGATTGGGGGCTGACATTGCATATAAAATTATTCATTCTTATTAGCCTTCTTTCAAGGCTGGGTAAAAATCATTATCTCTCAAAAATGAAAAAAACATAGATATTCTGAAAAAGAATTGGTTCTAGTGTGCTGGGGACTAAGAAGACATTTCATCTGCCTACGCATCAAGTATACAATGCACTCAACCAAGACTCCAAAGCAGTGGATTAAGGAGCAGTTCTAAATTTCCTTCATCAGCCGAGCGAGAGCCCAGACCTAAACCTAGCTTAAGGCCTCTCAGAGGACAATGCGGCTAAACACTCCAAAATATGTTTCCCAAGCTTGTAGAGACATAGAGAAGGCCTGAGGTGGTCATTTCTGTCAAAGGTTTTACATTCATGTGTAGAGTGATCAATGTGACTATGAATATACCTGTGATTGTTTTTATTATTTGTTGCCAAATTTGCTAAAAAAGTAGAAGAGTTTTTTTTTCCACCCTGGTCATTTTGGAGCACTGTTTGAAGAATATATAAATAGATAAAAAAATCCAAACTATGTTAGAAAAAAGCTTCCAAAGCACTGTTTTGGAAAAGCCATTCCTGGTCCGAGAAGAACATTCCTCCACAAAAACTTTCTTCACAACTTTTGGTTTCCTTTCTTTGCCTGTGATCTTTAGATCTTTTCTACAGATTTACCATTGCATTCAAGTGCGGTTGAGTGGGAGGTTTAGCTTTATTATTAGGGTTTCTAGAGGCCATTGTCATAGTCTAACATTGTTTTCACTTTCAGATTCATTTAAAGAACAATAGCCTCATTCGTGTTTTAAATAAGGAATCTATATTTACTGATAAAAAAACAAAGGAATAATGATGTGTTTACTATTTTCCTTGCTGTATGAGATGAGATGAAGAATGACTGCACTGTTAATGATCTAGTTTATGCAGTTTAAACAAACATTTTGTCTATCCAGGTATTCCATCGACTGGAAAAGTGACTTGGACAGCTACTTCGACATTGATCCAGTGGAAGGAACAATTTCCACAAACGAGCTCCTTGACAGGGAGAACATCGCCCAGCACAATATCTCTGTTGTGGCAACAAAACTCAGTGAGTATGACAATGAGTTCAGCAGTGATTCATGCAGGTGTCGTTGACCTTCCCCCACCATAATCTGTGTGAAGGATTTAACGCTCTTTTACTCGAGTCAATACTCAATCCCATTTTCCCAGAAAGGTTTATAGGCAGCTGTAAACTACGATGGCTGGCTCTCCCATAGGGGTTGTATCTTCAGGACAACGTCTCCTCCCGCAATCCCTGCCTTGACACTGTTTTCATTTTTAACTGCCTTTTTTGTTCCGATGGCACTTGGAGAAAGCTTTTGTTCACAAAGTCAACTTTTACTTACCCCACAGTAAAGTGTGAACTATCCTGAGTTTTACGACGGACAGATGCTCCCCTGCTGGAAGACGAAACCGATGCTGTGGCTTTAAGACGTGTCATCAGGCTAATCATGTTTATTATGAAGGAACTAGAGCGAATTTCTGCATAAATAAGCAAATCCATCGCCATCAAGTCATCAGATCAGCTAAGAACCGTCAAAGTCATTATCCCAGAGGCAGGCTGGCGCTCAATCAAAATTACACCCGCTGTATATTCATTAGGGCAGACTGTGAAATATGGCCTGTTAAAACTTGAATCATTGTCGCCTTGGAAACTGATATTACTCACTTCCCCTCAAGGTCACATCAGTGACATTCTAATTGTGTTTTTACTGTGTGTGTGTGTAGGGTTTCTCAGTGTTTTTATGCATTTAAATTAGAAGACGAGGTAGCCTAAACAGATTTGGTGCTGATAAAGGAGGAGCAGCACACAGATGGGACTTTCATTAGGTTTCTTCCTTGTTTTGTCTGTCATTCTTTATGAAGTAACAAGGCAGGATTTCTGCTGATTTCTCTCTTTTCACAGCTTCTTTTTACACTTTTCTTCTCACCCTCCTAGGCTCCTGCTCTCAAGGGAACAAGGTTTCACCAATTTCTCCTCATAAATTAAAAAAAGAGGGAAGTAAAAGAAAAACTGTTAGCAGAGTCTAATTGTTGGAAAGTAAAGGATAAAGACTGAAGCTCAGAGTTTGTGTTCCTGCCTTCAGTTCAATCCGTCTCTGACCTTGAGTTAGTTTTGGCAGAACTTTCCGTTCTGGGTATTGAACAGCTTTTATGGCTCCTCTGTGCTGCACAGTATTGTTATCACTAGAGTAGTGTCTGTCTATTATGTGGGTTTTAAACCATGAAGAGCAACAATAAGTACCGCTGTGCAGATACATTCAGTACACACAAGTAATGCGTTCACTGAGCAGAGGTCATGTAGTCATATTAGAGCTGTGTTTAGAATGTCCATGACTTTATCCACCTACAATTTTAAATTCTCCTTTTCTTTAATACTTAATGGATGGAGTTCCTTGTCTTGCTATTAAATATGCACAGCTTCTTAAGTTACTACCATATTTTATGACATAGCATTTCCAGTTTTATGAGATAATGTTCTATATTTATTTGCAGCATATAATTATTCTTGGGGCACAATGTAAGTTGGTTTTGGTTGATTTTTTCTCTCTTTTGTAATTATACTTTCTGCCAAATGTTATAATGCTGCCAAGTCTGTTTATTAAAGTCTTTCCAGAGGTGGGACCAAGTCATTGTTTTCCAAGTCATAAGTTAGACTCAAGTCTTTGACATGTAGTTCTGAGTGAAGACTGGCAAGTCCAAAATCAAGTCCTATAAGTCAAGACTGACATGTTACAAGTCAAGTACTTGAGTACTTGAGTCATTTTAACCACAAAGTAATACTGTATTTACACAGATCATGTAGGTTTTTATATGTATTTATTATAACAGCCGCAACTGAAATTGCAGAAAGAAAAAGTAGTACTGATACTGGCTACAGTTGCTAAAACATGATGATGATCAAAAACATTCATGGTATTTCATGATTTTTGAAGATTTCATTTTCTGTGAAATTATTTAAAGACAAAACAGGTCCATATAAAAACTACTAATAAACAAAAATAGTGCAGTGGAAACAATTTTCTTTTCATATATTAATGGTATACAGCAACAAATAATATCGAAATATGATGAAGGAAAGCTATTCAGCAGTTTGTGGGTGGCTTTTGCACTGGAAAAATTATCTAGAAATAAGTAAATATTTCTTAGATTAAGTGTATTTATCCTTAATTTGAGTAGGTAATGAGATAGTTTGCCAATGCAGTGGGAAAAATTGAAATCTAAATAATTAATTTTTTCTTAAAATAAGTGCATTTGTTCTTGGATTAAGGAGGTAAAAGAGACATTTTGCCA